GATAGTATAGAACCATATGGTTCTATATAGCTATAGAACCAGCCATGGCTCTATCTATAGACCACAGATAGAACCATATGGTTCTATATGGCTATAGAGCCAGCCATGGCTCTATCTATAGACCACAGATAGAACCATATGGTTCTATATAGCTATAAAACCAGCCATGGCTCTATCTATAGACCACAGATAGAATCATATGGTTCTATATAGCTATAAAACCAGCCATGGCTCTATCTATAAAGTACAGATAGAACCATATGGTTCTATATAGCTATAGAACCAGCCATGGCTCTATCTATAGAGCACAGATAGAACCATATGGTTCTATATAGCTATAAAACCAGCCATGGCTCTATCCATAGAGTACAGATAGAACCATATGGTTCTATATGTCTATAGAACCAGCCATGGCTCTATCTATAAAGCATAGACAGAACCATATGGTTCTATATGGCTATAGAGCCAGCCATAGAACCAGTCATGGCTCTATCTATAGACCACAGATAGAATCATATGGTTCTATATGGCTATAGAACCAGCCATGGCTCTATCCATAGAGTACAGACAGAACGATATGGTTCTATATGGCTATAGAGCCAGCTATAGACGACCTGTCCCACACCTGTTGTCTCATCCTCCAGGGACTGAGCTTCCATTAAGGCACTAGTTAAGGCAGTTCGCTCCCCAAACACCTGGAAGTACACAGCGTTCAGTTGCTGGCTGTACCACTTCGGCTTGTCGCCGATCAGAAGCGGGTCATAGACTCCTGAAAACATAGACGGCGCCACCATCGTTAGCTCTTCGGGGACACGCACCATTACCGCGGCGACGGCGGCAGCACGGTTACCGTGGCAACGGTGGCAGCACCATTACCGTCGTGACGGTGGCATCACGGTTACCACATACTGTACCATCACCCATTATGTATTACCATGGCGACGGTGGTAGCACGGTTACCGCGACGACGGAAATTGTTACAATTTCTAATGTTAATGTCAAATCTCACCCAAATGTCTTTCACATAAATTCACCACCGTTCATTCCTCTACGATTCGCGTATGTCGTACAACCTACAGCTGATTCCTGTTTCTACATGTGCACTCGCGTTCCTATATATCCCCCCTTCTCTCGAGTAAGTACTAAGATTTGTTATGCAGCCATTGCCGCAGACTGCCTCCGCTCACTGCATCTGTTGCCGCTCCGCAAAAACCACTAGACAGCGAATCAGAACGAGGTTAGTAAACGAAGCCCATCACAGCATCCCCCCATGGCAAACATACCCCCCCCCATCCGTTCTACATTGCGCAAGAGCAATAAAGGTCAAACCCTCTATAGACAGAGCTATCTTGGTTAATTTTTACTCAACCGTGTTAATCAAAACGTCAGCAGTACGTTTTCATCAACACGGCTGAGTAAAACCAAGATAGATCTATTATCTACCAACCGAATGAACTTATTAAATGAGTCCCCCATAAACACTTGTGACGAGTATCGCTAAACACGCCCACGTCCGCGCGCAGTGCTGAGCGGCGGCGGCGGCACCCCGCCATGAGGGGAGCGCAGCGACGTCTCCGACACGACACGCGGCGCCACCTACCCGTGTGCACGCGGTGGAAGGCGACGTTGGTGGGGGCGAGCGACCACTCAGCGTAGAACTCGACGGCCTGGGTTCGCGCGAGCCGCGTGAGGAACGGCGTCCGCTTCGGTCTCGACTTGAGGAAGGCGTTTCCCTGGAAGGCGACGACGGGTCGCGGGTAGAGCCGCAGCGTACGCGTGTGCTCGCTGAAGTTCGCCAGAAGGTTCGGCGAGTTGAAGAAGCGAACCTGCGGAGACGGAGCGGGAGAGACGGTTACCGCGGCGACAGCAGAAACAGTTGCCGCTGCGATGGCAAAGACAGGCGGTTATCATGGCGATGGCAGAAAGGGACGGTTGCTACGGTGATGGCAGGGAGAGACGGTTACCGTGGCAAAGGCAGAGAAAGATGATCACTGTTGCGATGGCAGAAAGGGTCGGTTGTTGTGGCGACGGAGGAAAGAGATGGTTGCCGTGGTGATGACAGACAAGGAATCGCAGTGATCGCATGACGCTACGACCGACAAACAGAAAACTGTGGGTGTGTCATGTGAAACACGTGGGTGTGTCATGTGAAACACGTGGGTGTGTCATGTGAAACACGTGGGTGTGTCATGTGAAACACGTGGGTGTGTCATGTGAAACACGTGTGTGTGTCATGTGAAACACGTGGGTGTGTCATGTGAAACACGTGGGTGGGTCTCTCGCTCGAAGGTGAATAAACAGTCGATGCAGCTTGATTAACGTAATGATCAAACGATGCGTCATCCTATGATCTGCGCGATTGACTGCGTTTACTCGATCGCATGACATCCTTCATAACATTCGCTTCATTCATTAACTCTATTGTTGCATCGTAGGTTCTTCCTCCTGGGCACTGGCCTCATGTCACCATGATGTACACGTATAACACGCACACGCACCCACGCACGCACACTTCTACTTGTATACACACCCGCAAGCACACACACGAGAGAGAGAGAGAAAGTGAGGGGAGAGAGAGAGAGCGAGCGAGCGAGCGAGAAAGAGAGAGAGAGCGAGCGAGAAAGAGAGAGAGAGTGAGTGAGAGANACACCAATGAGGCAACGTGACATGCAAGGCGAGCTGCGGAGGAGGAAAGGTGTAGTGGCGGCGGCGGCGGCGGCGGTGGGGCGGTGGCGCTGGCTGTGGGGGTGGTGGTGGTGGTGGTGGTGGTGGTGGTGGCGCTGGCTGTGGGGGTGGTGGTGGTGGTGGTGGTGGTGGTGGTTGTGGTGGTGGCGGTGGTGGTGGTGGTGGTGGTGGTTGTTGTGGTGGTGGTGGTGGTGGTGGTGGTTGTGGTGGTGGCGGTGGTGGGGGGCACACGGCGCATGCGGGGAAGTGTGGTTGAACAAGAACAAAGAGCGATATCACATGCATCACAAGACCGCTAACGCTGCCTCCGAGAAGACGGTAAACACTTGCTATAGCACCCGCAGGCGAAACATTACCGTCGTACACAGATCAGAAAGCTTACAGACAGAAGCAGTATAGAAGTCACGACGCTCTCTCTCTCTCTCGCGCGCGCGCGG